TGAAGTTTCGGTGGTTCGGTTGGGATTGAAAGGAGTTGTTTGTAGCTGCTAGTTTTGCTTAGTTTAGAGTTACTTGCGAGTACCTGTGGTTTTCGGTACTCACCCTTGCTTCTACACAATTGTGTAGGTTGACAGCTCTCTCAGATTCGGCTTAGTATTTTCTTTAGCAGATTGAGCTTCGGGACATACTCGAGAGGTAGCAGTTCATTCCAGGCGTGCCCTTGAGTTATCTTTACTTTCAGTTTTGTTCTATTCGAGAACTATACTCTGAGACTTGTATATTTTTATTCGAATTCTATATTTAGAGGTTTGTACATGTGACAACCAATTCTGGGTAGTGTTGAGTCTTAATTAAAGTCTTCCGCTTATTTATTATCTTTTATTCTCGTATTTCTACTTCTCTATCGTTGTGGTTGGGTTAGGCTGACGTGTCCGGTGGGAAAATGGACACGTGCCATCACATCCGGATTTGGGGTGTGACACCTGCCAGGTTTGATTTTTCCTTTCGGTGGTAGCACAATATCCGCTATGACATCTGGAGGAATTTGGTAGCACAATATCCGCTATGACATCTGCCCATATACTCTCATCAGGAATAGGATACACTGGAACTTCATAGGTGTTCACATGTAATTCTTGATTTCTTTCGCCTTGATTCACCACTATTTTTGTGTTGTATCTTTTGTGGCCTGCCAGGTTTGATTTTTCCTTTGGGTGGTAGCACAATATCCGCTATGACATCTGGAGGAATTTCCCATATACTCTCATCAGGAATAGGATACACTGGAACTTCATAGGTGTTCAGTAAGTTATTTTTCTTGTAGTATATTGAGCAATATTCATATTCATTCATGTAGTATTTTCTCACAATAGCCAAGACATGCTTACACGGCATAACATCCATTTGAAATCGCCTACACGTGCATATCCTTTCACGCATATTGACCACATGTCGTTTTCCGCCATCATAAACTGTATACAAATATTCTGTTGATGGAGTTACCTACAATTTAAAAATAATTATCAGAGGTAGCACAATCAACGTTTATACAATGTATTAAAAATGATATATCACGAACAAATCACATACTGTCATCCCTTGTGATTCCTTCATTTTCTCCCTCATTAGGTCTTCATATTTTGTGTTGAGTGTTGTGCCTGTCGCAATTGCTTTATTCTTATTTGTATTGTTCCAACGATCAATCATCTTCATCAAGTAATCCAACAAATCATATATATGAAAATCACTGACCTCTTTATCGGCTGCATTCACAGATTCTGCAATATTTGAAGTCATCACCATGAATCTATTGACGTTGGAGTGTGCTATCGACCATCTGTGATAGCCTATATCGAATAAGTACTCTTTCACCCTCTTGTCAATCCTATAAGTCTCAGCCATGTATTGATCAAATTCTTCTGTTGTGTATGCGTTAGCCATTGCAAAAAATATTTTTCTCAGGATCTTATGGTGCTTCCTGAAATATTTCTTTACATTGCCCCAAAGGTGGTATAAGCATACACAATGAGACACCCCTGGATACACAACGAAAGTGGCGTTCAGAATGCTTTCATGTCTATCAGATACGATACTCATACCTTCTCTTGTGCCATAAGTCTCTCGGATCCTTTCTAGAAACCATTTCCATGATGTATCATTCTCTGAATCGACTACAACAAAAGCCAATGGGAGTATTTTACCTAATTCAGCGACAAAATACATATATAATGTATTAGACAACAAAATCATGTTTAACTATTTCATAATTTATATTTGGATAATGAGACATTATATATAATAATTCTGACAGTAGACTATATATATCATGATTAAGATAGCATTTCAGGGAAAAATTAACTTAACTCGTTGTTTAAATAATAGATGTTCAATTGTAACTAACCTGCTGCATCTTGTGTGCAAGCTGTCAAAATTGTACCCATGTATGTTGCTTTTAAGAAGCTACCATCAACAACAACAACGGGCATGCAATATTCCCATCCTTTAATTGAGGCGTAAAGAGCTACATATGCATATAAAAAACGTCCATCCTCTGCTTTTTCTAATCTTGTAACAGACCCAGGATTTGTATGCCTCACCATGTACAAGTAACTAGGCAACTTTCTGTACGAATCTCTAGGTTTACCTCTTAATATCTCTAGTGCCTTTTCTTTTGCCCTCCATGCCTTCATGTAGTTCAAATCAACACCATATTGCTTTCTAATGTCACGTTGTATATCGGCTGGAGTATATATTGTCTTAGGATCATCGATATTGCTCGTTATCAAGCCTCCAACAAACTTTGAAGTAGCATGCCGTTGTGAAAAAAACCTTGATTCATTTCCACATGTGTGAACATTGCAAAATTTTCTTACCTTAAATATACTTGAGTTATTAAGGCCGGAAGACTTAAAATACCATGAGCACTGATCATCAACACATACAAGATAATACCTGCAAAATTGAATGGTATCATATCGTAATTGTAGCATATTACGACTAAGATATAAGGAAGATGCTTGAGTAGATTATAAATGTTTTAACTTGAGAAGTTCTATGTGCAAGTTATTTTTCAGTACAATATGGTGTCACCTATAAAGGATTGAGTTTCTCCAACTCAAATTTCTATATGTATTATGCTGGTATATATGGTTATTAGATATATGATTTTCTAGTTTTGTTAACATTAAATTACTATTAAGAAATTTTAGTTTGCAACGAGAGACAGTACATTGGTGCTTTTCATTTATCACATACTTGTACCTGACCAAATGTTAATTACCTTTTATAGTAGGCGAGGAAAGTTAAGTACAGAACAATACCTTATCAAACACATTAATGCAAGCACATATTATGAATAAGACACAAGGAATATGCTTGAAGGTAAACGCTGGACAAATCGATCAATACGCTGTCAACATTTCGATACCATATTAAACTGATATAGTCGTAGTATATAATACTTGGTATATAGCATATTTCTTAACTGGGATTTGGACGATCTTGGTTTTATCAGTATATATTAGTTTGCTATTTGTACTGATGTGCATTGGTTATTTTTATACAGAGTATTTGAAATATAGCGAAAGAAGATTTTTCATCTGAATTGAAACTTTGTTATACCAAGTATTGTATACTCGAATATACTTTATACCAAGTATAATATATTAATAGTTTAAGATACGAAAAATTATATACTAAATGTTAAAGATACCAAGTATTATCTACTTAATGTTTAAGATATCAAGTACTCTCTAGTAAAAGTTTAAGCTACCAAGTATTATATGCTAAAATTTTAAGTATGGTGACAACAAACACAATAAC